AAGTGCCTACCACGTGGACCAAGTTATTTGTTTAGGAAAATTTTATGATGTAACAAAAAAAAAAAAACTTTAAAGGTAAACTTAACTTTTTCTTTAACTTATGTAAGAAGCAGTGAATATTAGACGCTGTGATGAATGATTTATGGTTTTTATTTGAAATAAAGTTGTTTGAAATGTTGCCAAAATGTTTACAAATACACGTATCCATTCCAGATAATACCGAGAYGGCATTCATACACCAATAATGTCCTTAAACTGAGTTTATATAACTTGTTTCATAAACATTTTGTCATTTATTCCTAGGCCTATTTGTTATCTTTATTTTCATTTACTTTTATCTAATATAATTTGATAGATTTTAAGGTCAATGGCCTTCCTCTTAAAACTCAAACCCATCTTATTCAAACTGTATTTTATTGCTAAAGTTATCATTAAAGGTATAAAACAAAATCAAAACTTTATTGAGACTTTATTTTCACAACCAGGAAACTCCCATTATTGGATGTTTGGATTTCTTATCTCATTTCCTGTATCTCAAGGCTAAAAACAAAACGAAAAACGTCACATTTACAGGTAATCTCTAGTCAAATTGTATTAACAGAAGCCACATCTTTATTTTTAATTTATGATCACTTGCTTCAGCTATATTATGTTAACCTAAACAAAAAAAACTTTTTAACCAGAATAGATAGGGTCATTATAAACAATACTTAAATAACAGTTTATACTGAATTTCATATTCATAATACTTTTACATAGTTTCAGGATTATAAATGGAGTTCAGTTTGAATGTATAAACCACGTTTATCAATGCAGATCATTAGTTAGGCCAAATGTAAATAATTTAAAGCAGATGTGTTAATTATTCAGAACAGAACGGGACAGTATATGGTCTCCAGAAATGAACCGAACTCAAACAAAAATCAGTTGTCTTCGGTGTTTTGTTAAAATAACTACTACGTGTGAAACGTGTCAAAATCCGGTTTGGTTGTTTAGTCTGAAACTAAACTGTCTTCTAACTTAGCTAGTAATAGGGACGAAAAAAACATTAGTTTGAAAGTTTAAAAAGTAGCCAGATAAACGTCTCACCTGCTGTTTGACATGTTTTATCCTCTTCCATGCTTAGTTTTTATTCCAGAAGATAATCTTTGGGTAGTATTTCACTTCGGCCGCCTCGTTCTTCGAAGAACTTCCTGTGATGACTAAAAGTTTCCGGAAAAGGGAGTAAGGCAGAGGCTGCTTCCGTTCACGACTTTCAGAGTAAGAGCGTGCAATTAAAAACCGGAAGTACAAAAAAACAATAAAATGTTGCTTTTTAACCCAGATGTTATAAACAGTAATTACAACATGTACCACTAAATAAATAAATAGATAGATAGATAGATAGATAGATA